GCCAGTCAACTGATGGAAACAGATTATGGTCTACCAGTCGCTTTCCACAAAGGCCTATAGGCATCCAAATCTGCATGCTATCTCACCAGCTATCTACGTTGTGGCTTCTGAACCAAAAATCTGACTCTGCTGGGTACCCATTTGTAATTGCATTTCCAACTGCATTTCCAATTACTCGGTTTTAGGTTTTTGAACTATTGCTACAGCCTCCTGAGTGTCACGTTCATGGTTTTCCACAAATACAGCCTTCTGCTAATACTGCATTCAATTTTCAGACAGGGAGATTTCCTGCTCACTTACAAACAGGCCAGAAAAGCTTTTAATCGTGTGAGCACAGGTAATACCTTCAACACCAACAAAACAATCTACATGCTTAGAATTTAGCACATCCCTTAATGCATTTCTAGCTTAAGGCCTTACGTTGGTGAAACCACAAGAAGGAACTACACTTTATTTGTAATGGGTAACATAACTCTTTCTTAAATAACAAAAATTTTAACCATAAGGCTTTTTTTTTCAGGCCTTTGCAATTTGTTTATTCCTGACAGACAACTTTTTCCACATTATATGGACTAGGGAATAGAAAAGTGTCTTTCTTTAGCCAAGTTGTTTTCATTTCTGCGATTTATTACTTGGACTGCAAAAGCACTTACATATCCCAGGAAATAATATATATTTTGAAATACATCAGGATTTTAAAAATAATAAATATAATTGGGAAGCAGAACTAGGTCTACAAACTGTTGATCTTAATTTAGCTTCAGTGAGCTAACTTCTCTCTTACAGGAAGAAATCCTGCAATGTAGATTTCACTTTAAAGCGTACTGAACAAAATCAGTGGAAATAAGTGATTTGGAGACATCGTGGGTAATTTAAGGGCACTTTCTACTATTTGCCAAAATTACCAGCACTTTGAGTTTTCCTGATAAAAGTGTTCTTCATAATGATCCTCACAGCAGGTTAAAGAATTGGTTGAATCATCTTGCAACTACATCTACTGCCATCCAGAGGTAATTGGCAAAAGTTTGAAGAGTAAATCTAAGCTAATTGTATCACTAACAGTAAGACCCGAATGCTGTACATTGGAGCAGGTCTGATGAAATACACACATAAAGTTGTAGCCCAGCTGAACAGAAACTACAAAAATAAAAGCTAAGCAGGATAGCTCCTTATTATTTTTCAACAGGCAAAAAATATAGTATATCATATGAATGTTGTTCATTTGGTGTATCCTTCATTATGTTTTCTATTAATGTTTCAGACAAGTGCTTCTGCAAATTACACTCTGCCACCTTTATATTGTTCATATAAACCACAATTATGGTAAAAAAACACCAAACAAACACAAAACAAAACTACAGTTTTTCTCACCACAAAGAAGCCTACACTTTAACACAGAATCCAGCTTCTGTCTGATCACCTCACTGGACAGAAAGTAAACAATCACTGAGGAATTAAGCATGCACAGAGACACATGCACACACACTATGAGTTACGCATTTCTACCACTCATACTGAAAAGACAGAGAACCTCATGAAAGAAGAGGGAGGCTAAGACTGAAATTGGTCAAGTATCTATGGATTGTGGAGGTCTGCAGTTAAGGGTAATTCATTTCAAGTGCTTTGAGTGAGTGCTGAGCACTCACAAATACAGCCACATTTGGAGAAATGTGATATATGCAATTCTAAAACTCGGTACCCACAAGAGGAGAATCCAAAAATTCATCCTTAAAAAAATATATAAATTTAAACAGGCTGCAAAAGCCTGTTATGAAAGATGGAGCAAGCTTAGATAAAAATATTTATTTCCTAAATATAATTTCCATAATTCAACATTGATATAATTCTTTCATCTTTTCAAAACCCCAGAATTTCAGCAGTACACACATCTATTCACTTCTGGGAAGCTGTGTGCCTGCTTGTAATTCTCAGCTTATAACTGAGAGTTATAAACTCAAAGTGTAGTCTGATTATTACAATGAGCATCTAAGAAGCCACTTCCACAATGGGATATTTGCCCAAAATATCCATGGCTCCATTTAAAAATCCTGTTGGGTTTACAAATCCATTCAAACATTCTTCAAACTACCACTGTACCAACCACACTGTGAAATCACAGGCTCAAAGACGTCCTGTCCATCAGCCTGTACAGCAGCACGTGGGTGCCATCACTGTGTACAGCTGTAATAATTTTGTAGTCAGACTTCAGTAACACAACACTGTGCTGAGGAAACTTGAAGCACAGCAGGGTGAAGCTCATTGCTCAGTTATGTCTGTTCTTCAGTGCTTACAGGACCAAAAAAAATGGTGTTGTCAGTAAACTAAGCAGTTATTTCTTTCTTCTACACAACAGAAGGAGATCTATACAAAGACTACGAAATTTCTCCTCAAGATAAATTAGAACTGACATTGCCAAGGACTACAGCGAAACCATCAAAGACTTCAGCTTGAAGGTTTTCACCTATGCTCTTTGAAAGTCTGAATCTTTAAAAAGATGCAATATTTTTTTTTCAGGCTTATTCTCTAAACAGGAATTTAAATGATTTGTTTGTGTTTTTTGAAACGCTTTAAGAATGTGTTGTAACCTCTACTTGTGATTAGTTTCAAAGACTTACCTAGTCTGCTGAAAGTGTGACTTTCAGGATTTTCATAAAGAGCAAGTAAACAAACAAACAATTTAAAGCATTTACAGATTTCCTCTGTTGATTATAATTGCTACTATTCAACCACGTACATAGAGACTAAGCCATGGAGCAAATCAATAGTTCTGTTTACTGCTTTCTAAGCACTCACATAGCAAATTACAATTTCTGGAATATGTAAGAAGGCTGGAATTCAGTTCTAAACAGCAATTGCCAGAAAGTAAATTTTTACCTTCTGAGCTTCTGATTTTTTCTTCCTTAGCAGGTGCAAGCTGTCAGGTGAAACAGACCAATTCGTAGTATGTGCTCCTTCTGCTATTCTAGTGATACACAGTAATCACAAACTCTCAAGGCATGTCTGGCAGTGTAATAAACACTAATAGTTAAATCCTCCTATACCTAGTCACTTACCTGAAGGCTTTTGGGTTTTGTGCAAATACAAACTGAAGAACTCAAAGAGCAAACTGCTTAAGGATAAAACTCAGGGTAGTGCAGGGATCAGTCTAAAGATATTGACCAGACTTCCAAAACGATGGACCTTATGCTTCTCAAAAGCATAAATATACACCTAAGTCCAATCTCATAGTGCATGTACATCTCTTCGAAGACCTGTCTTTAAAGTTATTTTTTTCTGTATTTCCAGGTGATAGCATGAGCCGTCCAGGAAAGAACGAAATAGTTTCCAGTGCGATGCCATCTTGTGGTAAATGGGGAAACGGTCTGTGCCATCGGATCTGCCTCGAAACACATAGGGAACCTGCTGTTCCATGGTATATGAATCATACTCATAACTGTTGACTCAGGGAAAAAAAAAAAAAAAAAAAAAAAAAAAAAAAAAGTAAGACTTTATCATAGTTATAAAGATATTCATCTCCTTTTACAAGCCAAGCAATTTATTTTCATCCCCAAAACACTATTGTGCCAGAACTGTTTCCATCACTCCGGACATAATGTAAAGGTAGAGATGTGATTTAACTTAGCAGAAAATTGTCTCTCATATAAAAACTCCCACCACTTGGCTGCAGTTCAATGCTACCATGAGCTTGTTTTCAGGGCACATGGGATCAGCTCGAAATGTCATGGTCACAGAAGCCAAATCACCGTATAGCTATAAAAGGATTCTTCCATGGCTCATTTGTTTAAAAATAGCATGGAGGTATCTTTGACCCATCTGACCTTTGGGTGTATGCAGTATCATCCGATCACCTCGCTTATCATGGTGCCTGAGGAGACATCTGCCAGGTGATAGTGCTGTCCTCTCCTCCCTCCTCTATGGGGAGACTTGCTCACAGGGCACGTGTCGGTCTGAGCAGAGCTGGTAGAGGGGGCTTGAATATTGGTCCAGCTGCTAGCACTCACAGACACGGCTCCACAGAGGCAAATTTCAGCTATAAACAGCATGCTATGCACATATAAACATATGTATATAAACACATATGTATGTGTTTATGAGGCTTAAACCAATATGACCAATGTGTTACGGTGTATATATTTCCGTGTTCATCAGGCTTAAACCTGCTTGCTGTTGGAATACAAGCACACCATGTGCAGTGGCAGGGTTTTTTTGCTGTTTGCTCACCCTGGGCACCATGCACATGGCAGTGGCCATGCCCCACATGCTGCAGACAGCAAGCAGCCATGCTTTGGCTTTGCCCCTTCCATGCCACCCCCTTCCAGTGCTGCTGCTCCAGCCCTGTGTGTTTTGTACAGGTGCCTTAAAGGAGGCTGTAGCGAGGTGGGGGTTGCTCTGTTCTCCCACATGCCTGGTGACAGGACGAGGGGGAATGGGCTAAAGTTGCACCAGGGGAGGTTTAGGTTGGATATTAGGAAGAACTTCTTTACCAAGAGGGTTGTGAGGCATTGGATTGGGCTGCCCAGGGAAGTGGTGGAGTCACCATCCCTGGAGGTCTTTAAAAGATATTTAGATGTAGAGCTCAGTGATATGGTTTAGGGGAGGACTGGTTAGTGTTAGGTCAGAGGTTGGACTGGGTGATCTGGGTGGTCTCTTCCAACCTGGGTGACTCTGATTCTGTGTAATGGCGGGAGAGGGGTTTGGGTGGAGGAGCGTGGGGCAGCTCTCTGGGGATTTCGCAGGCCTCACTGGGAAGCCAGCAGGCCTGAGGTGTTCCCAGAGGTGTTCATTGCTGTGTGTGGGTGATTAAACAGCGGTGAACAACGGGCACGAGCGCTGCAGCGCCCTGCAGGGGGCAACACCCCCCCCACAAGGGCCAGCCGCGCAGACTACACTTCCCAGCATGCCCCGCTCCCCCAGCACCCCCCCAGCCTCCAGGACTACACCCTCGGGACTACAACTCCCGGCAGGCAGCGGGGCGCGGCACTTCCGTCGCGCTGAGGCAGAGCGGCTCCCCTTCCGTTTCCCGGGGCAGAAGATGGCGGCGGCGGTGCGCGTGGAGGAGCTGCTGGCGGCGGCGGCGCCGGGCGAGCGGGAGGCGCCCAGCTCCGTGTCGGTGGAGAAGGAGCTGGAGCTGGAGTTCGACCTGGGCAACCTGCTGGCGCTCGACCCCAACCCTCCGCCGGCAGCGGGGCTGCGCGGGGCCGGGCCGCGGCGGGAGGCGGCGCTGCGGGCGCTGGCCCGGGACAACGCGCAGCTGCTGGTGGCGCAGCTCTGGGCGCTGCCGGCCGAGCGGGCCGGGGGGGCGGCGGGGCCGCTGGTGGCCAGCCTGCCCGAGCCCTCCTGCCGCCTGCCCCGCGAGAAGCCGCCGCCGAAGCCGCGGCCGCCCACCCGCTGGGAGCAGTTCGCCCGCCTCAAGGGCATCCGGCGGCGCAAGCGGACCTCGCTGGTGTGGGACGAGCAGGCCAAGGAGTGGCGGAGGCGCTGGGGGTACCGGCGGGCGGGGGGAGACCCGGCCCGCTCCTGGCTGCTGGAGGTGCCGGAGGGCGCCGACCCGGAGGAGGACCAGTTCGCCAAGAAGCGGCAGGAGAAGCGGGAGCGGGTGGCCCGCAACGAGTTCAACCGCCTGCGCAACCTGGCCCGCGCTCACCGTGCTTCCACTGCAATCCCAGCCCCGCCGCTGCACCCCACCGGCCACCAGAGCCGCCAGGAGCTGGGCCTGGCTGCCCGTGTCGCCCGCGTCTCCACCGCCTCGCTCGGCCGCTTCCAGCCCCGGCTGCCCAAGGAGCCGGTGGAGCTGCCCCCGCGAGGCCGCTGCAGCAAGAAGCGGCGCTTCGAGCCGGTACTGGGCGACCTGGCAGCCGAGCGTGGGCGGCAGCTGGAGCTGCTGAAGGCCATGAACAGCAAGAAGCCGGCCCTCGACATCACCCGCGCCGTCAACAAGCAGCTCCGCGAGGAGGACGCTGAGGCGGCCGCCGCCAAGGGCAAGAAGCAGAAGCAGCGTGGGAAGCGGGGTCGCCGGCAGCAGCAGCGGCCTGCCCGTGGGGGCAGGAAGAGCGGGGCCCGGCGGCAGCAGCGCCCTGCAGGTGGCAACGTCACAGGTGGCAAGAGAAAGAAGGCTTGAGGCAGGGACTGCGGGACTGTGTGTGTGTGTCACATGCTGGGGGTGCCTGCTGAGGGGCATGAAGGGACTGCTGGTGCCGGCCGCCTGCTCTGCATGCTGCTCCCACACCTCATTGTCAATAAACGTGGTCTGTTTTTTTCTAAAGTGGCCTGCGTTTGGCTCTCGGGTGGTGGTTGAGGAGGGCAGTGTGCTCCATCCAAGAGGAGTTTGTGGAGTACCCAGGTGCTCCCTGGGCTGGGGGCTTTGGGGGTGCCCAGGTACCAGCTTCACGGCTGCCCATGGCTGCAGCATTTCCTGGCTGAGCAAGTCCTCAGCTAGCTGGGAAAGGGGGTGGGCCCAGCTGCAGGGCTGTAACCGTGCTGTGATTGAGGAATGGTGCACGCAGACAGGTACAGGTGAAAGACAAAGCTCTGCTCTGGGAAAGCCGCCCAGCGGGAGCTCTTGCTCTGTAAGGGAACAGCTGTTCAACTCATATTCAGGCTCAGTTACAAGAGAAACGTGAAAGCTTACTGAAGACTCATTGTGGAGCATAAGAAATTGCAGAGATTTCAGAGTTGTGTTTATTAAACAAAAAAGTCAAAGCTTTTGAATAGTAGGCTAAAACCTTATAAATTCCTACTTGCATTAACTTTAATACTAATAGATCATTTTATAAAAAGTTTTTTTTTTTTTTTTCCTGTATTTTTTTCTTCAGTTTTTCTTTACCAAACAGATCAGACACCAGAAATTACCTAGGGTTTCTGTTTCTCTTGAGCTTTGTGCTGTCTCCCATACATTTGGACTAAAAAATAAGATTTTCTGTCCCAATATGTGGCGTAGCTCCAGGAAAGAAGGCACTTTATGAAGCCCTTCCTGGCATGAGGAGGGGTAAAATGAGTTCCAGTAATCTCAAGTAGATGAAGTTTTCAAGCTTTCGAGTAGTAACATTGTAAGTTGTTAATAACACCATTCTGCTGCAAGGTTTTAGAAAAAGCTAGATAAATAGCAATTATTTTCTCTTTCTGTAGTAGTTCAGTAAGATGGCAACTTGAGCATGACCCAAAAAATGTCAAGTTCAATGAGTTAAGACTACCGAGGAAGACAGAAGGGGTTAAGTGGTGGAGCTGGAGGAATTTGAGTGGCGTTAATGGATCAAGTACCGCACTGAATCTATCAACTTTGCAAAGGATGCATTCTTCACCTCCCATGCATCCTGTAGCTCACATGGACACAACCCCCAGAAATCAGGTGTTCAGCAAAAGTAGCCAGGCATAGCAGTGCAAAAAGCACTGGGAAGTGGCAGGAAATGTTCCAGACCTCCAATTTTCCTGGCATTTCTATGGGGCATGTCTTGTACCTGCTCAACTAGGTGGCACTGTTTTCTTTCCACCCCCTGACTGCCCGTTAAGTATTTCATGCTGCTGTGTTAGTGGTGAGCTTTCCAAAGCTAAGGACTTCTCCATTAAAATTCTGGAAAGTTTGAATTTTCACAAGTGGTTATGTATTTAGAACAGAGATGTAGAGTGCTTCCTGGGTGCTCTCGCTTTCTGAAGCTCCGGCATGACTACAGATCTAAAAACTCCAAGAGGGTGCCAGTTTTTAAGCAGCACAGGCACCAACTTAGCCCTACGTGTGCAGGGAGCTGAGCTTGCTTGGGTTTGGGGAGAGGAAGGGCTGTGCTAACACCAGCCACTTGTTTGAGGTGTATTTATTGGTGTGATGTCATTTTTATGTCCTTTTTATCTGCTGATGCTCTGCAAGCAAGCATCAGTTGGATATTGCAATTACACACCAGATGTTTGAGAGTGTTCATTGAGGGAGCTGAATAGGGCAGTGTGAAGCCTATATTTTTGTCAAAACTACAGACTTTGAGGCAATTTTGTCCTCTGCTGTAGGAACCGCCCCAGAGCTGTGCCCCCCGCTTCTCCCCCGTTCCTGACTCCTGCAGCGTCGCAGCAGCTTCCCAATTCCTACGCGAGCACCTCGCTAAATTTCCACCTCCGTGAAACCAGAACCACCCCAAATCTCCTTTCCTGCCCGTTCAGCACCCGTTTCACCCGATACACGTTATTTTTAAGCTCTCCCCCATGAGCACAGCTCCCCCCCGCCTCAGGCCCCGCGGCCGGAGCAGGGAGGGCCCGGCCCGGCCCGGCCCGGCCCCCCCGCAGCCATGGCGGCCGGGCGGGAGCGGGCTGCCCGCCTCCTGCGCCAGCTCCAGCGGGCGGCGTGAGTCGGGGACGGGCCCCGGAGGGGGCTCCCGGTGCCCAGCCGCTTGCCCCGGGGTCCCCCCCCGGTGCCTGGCCGCTGGAGGAGCCGCTTGGCACCCCCAGAGGCTCGGTCCCGCCGCGGCCGCAGGGTGGCGGCCTCCGGCTGCGGGTGCTGAGGGAGAGGGTGGGAGGCTCCGGGGCAGGGACACGTCGGGGGTTGTGCTCTTAAACCTGACTTTTGTGTCTTTTTTTTTTATTTAGGTGTCGGTGCCCGAGTCACAGCCACACATATTCCCGAGGTAAGGCTTAATTTATATCTCTGACATAGCAGGCAGCAAACAGTTCAAAGCATGAGGGAAGCAGGTAAGCAGCCTGTTGTTTGGCAACTCGAAGTACATAAACACAAGAATAACCACATAATAATGCACATTTTTGTTGGAGAGGGTTCCTGTGTCTCCCCATCAGCCACAGCTAGCACATCTGGCCTTCCCTCCCCTCACTGACAGGCAACCAGAAGCTGTGGTTTCTGCTGGTCCTGCCATCACCTGAACCATCTCCACGTCTGCATCTGTGGGGAAAAACGCGTCTCTGCTACACTAGGAATAAACAGAAGTGCCGTGAATAAAAAGGAGCTGTGCACAAAGGTGTATGTTATCTGGGGGAGTGGGATCTCCTCAGGCTTTTTGTGCAGGCAGACTAGAGAATGTGGCTTTTATCAGTCAGGGTTTGGGAGCGAGCAGGAGGAGCTCTGCTGGTGACAGGTGCCCTTGGAGGAGCTTCTGGTTGCTTTGGCTGTAGGGTGTCCAGCAGAATAGTTTACAGATGCTCTCAATCATTTAATATGTCCCAAATGTTTCACTCTTAATGCTACAGAGGTACCTAAAAGATACAATAGGGATAGTTCCTGTAAAAATGGGTATTTGGGGCCATCATTTCAATAATGAGTGGTTCTGAGTGGCATAGTTTCATCTGCTTTACTGAAGATACTTTTTAAGGAATTATCATTGCCATCTTAGCTGTGGAAAAGCTAATATGTGTTTATGTGTTCATACATTTATTTTGCTCAAGACCATCTTACAGCACAACAATAGCACAGCCGAGAAACTGAATCTCATTTTTCTGGTTGTCTGCCTGATGACCTCCTCAGTCAATTCAAACTAAGACCCTGTAACTAGAAATCTTAATTAAGAATGCTCTCTAAGTTTTAAGCAGAAATTGATCGTATAAAGTAGCAAGATGGTATCAATTCTGTAGGTCTGTAAATAATGGGAATTGGCTTAACAGTGACTAGCAGAAAAAAAAAAAAATCATTCATTGTTTCTTGGCAGTAAATAATGCAGGTTTTGAACTCAGTAAAATTCTTCCTGTAAGTTAATTTTGGCTCAAGAAAATAACAGCAGGGCACCTATTATTTCGTCAGAAAGCAAGAGAGTAAATCGCTTGGACATGTTTTTAGCCTGTCAAATTAATGACTGAGGGTACAGCAGACTCAGACTCCTGGAGAGGTCAAACATGTACAGCCTGGCAAGACATGGCAATGAAAGAGCTGATAGCAGCTGGCCTGGGCTTGAATAGAAAGCACATAAAGGATTTTAATACATCTATCTGTTACTGTCGTGGGTCAGTGCTTCAGTGCACCCCAGAGTGTCTGTAAGACTCATTATCATGGCTTCACTCATTGGATCTGAATCCAAATCACATTTTTTCAATTAATATAACAGACAGAAGGCATGACTTCAGCAGGAAGAGCAGAACGCCTCATCTGATCCTTTCTTGGAGAAGAATGGGCTGTTTCAGTTGATGCTGTTGTTTCACTTTCTGGCAAAATCAGGATATGCAAGAACTAGAGATCTGTGAAAATTCATGCAAGAATGACGTGGCAAAGAGAAGATATGACTGAAGTACTATCCTTACAAATATTTGCTTCTGCTAAATAAAGTTGATAGCATCACCAGTTCTTGTTAAAGCCCTATTGTTAGTGATGCATGCAGTTTCTTAATTTTGAAGCGAGCAGTTCGGATTCACCTGCAAGTTCAGGACTAGTCAGAAGTAAAAAGCAGCATAAGCAGCTGTCAGAATTATTTTTACATGTACAAAAGGTGTTTGCAATCCTGATACATAGAGAATATTTCTTGGTTTTGTCATAAAAGTTGGTCTGAAGGTTATAATGTAGCCTCTATGCATTCCTAACAACTCTCAAGTGATAGAGTATCCTGTATGCTCTGCAGATACTCAGTTCTATGTATTTGTTATGTATAAATAAATATTTTATACATTGTAATGCAGTTTTCCTGTTAACTTACTCAGTTTTTTATGGGAAAGAATTACTGAAGGAAGAAAAAAACACCCCTTTTTGCTGAATCATATTAATCAAAATAAGCATTTAGGTTATTAAATCTCACAAACAACTAAGGACAAAATGGGTAAGACAAGCCAAGATGACCTGTGCAAATGTATTAGTGATTTTAAAAGCAAAGAAATCTGTCATCTGTAATATTGTTATGTATGTAATAGAGAGAATGAAGTCACTTTTTATTCCCTAATTTTACTTTTTAATTTTCATTCCAGTTCCTGAACATGCTACCCTGGGAAATACAGACTATGCATTTGAGGTAGATTTAATAATAAAGTTTATATGATTTTTTAAAGTAATATATTATTTCAAATATGGCATTTAACAAGTGCGTACATTAGTAAATATTTAAGTTTCACTTTGGCTGTTTGGGACTTGATGCCATTTCTTCATTTTTTCCAGAAGAATATGTTCTTTATTTTGCAGATGGCTGTTTCTAACATCCGATATGGAGAAGGAGTTACTAAAGAGATTGGCATGGTAAGCCTCTGTAATGTAAATCCCTCACTGGTGAAAATATATTTTCTAAAGAACTGCTGGTGCTATCAATCTGTTTAAAATAGGAAAGCTTATATATAATGTGTCTGAACCTCCGCTGCTTTGCTGTCTGTGTAGTCATACACAGCAGCATGACAAGGTTGGAAAATACTGCTGGGTAAGGACCAGAAGCATGTTACATCAGCGGTGCTGTGGTGTAAGTGACTGCATGACGTGTAGCACTGGATAATTGGATCATTGATGATTGGCCATGATTACTCAGCAATACTTGACAGGGAATTGAATTCAAAAAATTTTGAATCACGGTGACTCAACAGGATTTTTTCAGTACCATGTCTCTTCCAGCGCTTATTAAAATGAATCAGAGACTTTCCATTAAATCAGATGGATATTAGTTGGGCTCTGAGATTGCACTGTGAAGGCGTGGAATTTGTGTTTCAGCAGTGTGGGGTGATTCACCTGAGTTCTAGTTTGGCTTTATCTTTTTCTTTTTTTTTTTTTTTTTTTTTTTTTTTGTATTTTTTGTTGCTGCTTAGCATTTATGGAGTTAATAGTTCTCTTTATTTGCATACGTGTTAAGGAGATTCATGGTCAGATAGTAAATGAAAAGTTAGACAAAACTTCTACCTTTAAACCTAGTATTTAGATACTAGGTTTAATACTTACCTAGTATTGAGATTATTTAAATTACACCTTTCATGTAGCTATTGCAACAATTAATTTAGCAAAGGTTAGGATGCAATATTCTGTGTCTTCTTTTTGTCACCTTATTTTTTTATTTTTTTTTCAATGACAAATGAATATTCAGTGTTACATTTTCTAGTTATTAATGCTGTGCTTTGGCAGGCAGCTAGGAGAGACCTAACATGGAAAGGCCTTTTTATGTCACAGAAATTGTGTAGGGGGAAAAAATAGTCCAAAAATATTTTACATTTTAATGCAGTCTTAGGCAGTTCCACGTGGTTTTCATTTGATATCTTTATCTTCAGTTTTCTGCTTGTGGCGTTTTCATCCTGCTGGGCAGCTAAACTCCACCACAACCGTGCGCTCACTCCCCCTCCTCAAAGGAAGAAGGGAGAAAATACAATGGAAAGGGCTTAAGGGTTGAAGAACAGAGAGATCACTCAACAATTACTATCATGGGCAATACAGGGAGATTAATTAAAATAGGGAGATTAATGATATTTATTGCCTACCACTAACAGATTAGAGCAGTGAGAAACAAAGAGCAAATTAAAACCACCTTCCCCACATCCACCCCCTTCCACCTCCTCCCACCGAGGGGCACAGGGGAATGGGGGCTACAGGCAGTCCCTGATGCTTCATGCTCTGTATCATGGAGTCCATCCCCCAGGAGCAAACTGCTCCAGCACAGGACCCCCACAGGTGGGTAGCAGCTGCCCCCAGACCCCTGCTCCTGCGTGGGCTCCTCTCCACAGGCTGCAGCTCCAGCCTAGGGTCTGCTCCTGCAGGGGCTCTCCATGGGCCACAGCCTCCTCCAGGCCACCTCCACCTGCTGCACTGGGGGCTCCTCCACAGGCTGCAGCGTGGAGATCTGCTCCATGTGGGACCCATGGGCTGCAGGGGGACAGCCTGCTCCACCAGGGGCCTCTCCCTACACAGGCTGCAGGGGAACTGCTGCTGCCTGCCTGGAGCACCTCCTGCCCTCCTGCTGCACTGACCTGGGGTCTGCAGGGCTGCTTCTCACTCCTCTCTCCCAGCTGCTGTTGCACAGCAAGGTTTTTTTCCCCTTCCTTCAATCTGCTCTCCCAGAGGCCCACCCAGCCTCACTCCCTGGCTCGGCTCTGGCCAGCAGTGTGTCTGTTTTGGAGCCAGCTGGAGCTGGTCCTTATCTAATATGGGGCAGCTGCTGGGCTCTGCTCCCAGAGGCCACCCCTGCAGCCCTCCTGCTACTAAAACCTCACCAGGTAAACCCAGTACACTTCTATAATAAGACTTCAGCTATAGAAGTTTGACAGCTTTATAATTTATGCTATTGTCTGCATCCTGTACAGACGTGTGAACCCTTTTTTTTTTTTAGATGATACTGTTTCAAAAGTCTTATAATAAGAAACGATTTTAATTTATTATTATTATTATTATTATTATTATATAATTCAGTTGATTTGGATTGGAAAGTAAATAGTTAAGCATATGATTTTACACCAGTTGTTTCTGTTGCAACTTATTTGTTATTGTAGGACCTGAAGAATCTGGGTGCTAAAAAAGTTTGTCTGATGACAGATAAAAACCTCTCCCAACTCCCTCCCGTAAATGCAGTATTGAATTCCTTGGCAAAATATGGTATAAACTTCCAGATGTATGATGAAGTCCGGGTGGAGCCGACTGACCAGAGGTACTACTTACAACAGCACATTTCTCAAAGTGGCACGCAGGCTCCATGGCTTTATAAACACCTCTTTGCCTGTCACCTATGCACTGGTCTTAATAGTAATTTTTCTCTCTGCTGTTTTTCTCCTGAGTGATTGAAAAGCTTTTCCTGTTTTCCAAGTTTCCTGGATGCCATTGAATTTGCTAAAAAGGGAGAGTTTGATGCCTACGTGGCCGTTGGAGGTGGGTCTGTCATAGACACCTGTAAAGCTGCCAACCTGTACGCATCCAGCCCCACATCAGACTTCTTGGATTATGTCAACGCTCCCATTGGGAAGGGGAAGCCTGTCACTGTGCCCCTTAAACCACACATTGCAGGTAAAGCAGCACAGGTGTGTGTGGGGAGTGAGGGGCAGGAGGCGAAGAGTCAGAGTTTACCCTGACCTTTTCACCTTGCTTTCGGGCTTACTTTTCCTCTAGTTGCGTTCAGCAGCAAGTTTGCTGCTTATTTCACAGGTTTTGTCATTAGTTTGTCTTTTTTAGCCGAGTTGGACTCCTTTTACTGAGAAAAACAATCAAGGGGGCTGCTTCTTTTGACCTGCTGGCTTTGGATCAGGGACACCTCCAAGATTTCCCAGATCCTGTATTTCTGGTGGCATTATTATTGTGTTTTTCTTTATTCTGTGTTATTATATATTACTTATTATTTGTTATTATCCCCATTCTTCTTTTTAAGTTCCTACAACAGCTGGAACTGGAAGTGAAACCACTGGTGTTGCCATTTTTGACTTCAAAGAACTAAAAGTAAAAACTGGTGAGATTTTTTGTCTTCAATTCAAGATATTTTTTCCCCCAATGTCTTCTTTATTTTCCTGCCTTTAAAAAGGAATACTGCGTGCCATTGCAGATGTCAATTCATTTGATTCAACTGCCACAGACAAATTTGAAGAGCTTAAAGGTTTCCTCCTCAAATTAAATTTATAGCATATTAACATAATGAAATGCCTATGTAATATAGTGGATTATAGTTTGAAGTCAAAACAGGAAACTAAAATCTTTCAAGTCCTTAAATGGCAGAAAATGTTAATGGCAAAGGAAATTTCTACTTACATTCAGGGTCAACCAACTGTTCCTTATTTCCTCTGTATTTTTCTTTCTGTTTTTAAGAATTATGTTTCTTTGTTGTATAATTGTGACCAAATGTTCCTTTTCCTGACTTCTGAAACCTCAGGCCTGAGATGCTGTGCAAGTGAGGGGCACTGTCTTCCTCTGACCTTTTCATCCCTGGACAATAAGGATTACAGCTAAAATGTCATCTTAAGCTTCATAGCTATTTTGAGGTTTTACTTCAAATTGTGTGGATTTTTTACGCTATGCAGTCTACGGTAGTAGTCCCAAGTGGGAGTGCTAAGGAGTTGTGGCTGTAGCTCAGAGTTTTGTAGTCTCTATATAGTCACTCAATCTGTCTGTCTGTCTCTCTGTGTCTCTCTTTCTCTCTCTCAAGGCTACATCTGTGCCACCTTAACCACGTATGAAGGCACAGTGATTGTAGATGCTGAAGACAGCAGTTAGCAACAGCAATTTGTTGTGGAAACAAACCACTCGTGTCCTCTGATTCACAGAGATGTCCGCAGGAGATGCAAATTTAAGAATAGTGTTGCAAATGCCATTCAGCACAGACATTTTGAAAGGCAGGCTGCTCAGGGAGAGTGACAGCCAGAGGGAGAACGTTGTCTAGTGGAATTCACTCCAGGGAACAGTCTCAAATCCAAAAAATATGTTACAGGGACTTCATCAATAAGACTTAAATTCATAGATACTTACTCTCCCTTCTCTCCCTTTGCTTTTCTCCTGATATTTTCAAATCACTTGCCTTCCTTACCTATTGAACATCAGGCTTTTGCTGTCCAATTTTGTTGCAAAAAAAAATTAAACTCAGTTTCTTCCCATATTTTGCAGGTATTGCTTCCAGAGCCATAAAGCCAACGCTGGGCATCATTGATCCTTTACACACGCTGTCTATGCCCGAGCGAATAGTGGCCAACAGTGGCTTTGATGTGCTTTGGTGAGTTTTCTGTGTAGCCTACTGCTTGATTTTATTATAGTTTTTGTATTTTTACCATGATGACTGTAGAAAAAAAAATATGTTTTAGGAGTAGAAAATGGTGATCTTTTCTCCTCCTCTCCTGTTCTTGTTAAGGTGATCTCTGTTCTGCATTCCTCTTACTTAATTGCACTGCCTACCTCAGAAAGCATGGGCAAAAATCACTCATTTGCAGACATTTTAGTGTTCTTGCAGAACTGGAGAGACCATTTGCTTCCAAAATGGTTGCTGTCAGGGAAGAGAGTCCGGGTGTCCTTTTTTTAAGAGATCAAGTAGATGATTAATCACAACTGTGACAGCATTTATCACATTTGTCAGGCATGGCATGGAATAGAGGACAAGGATTTTCTAATAAAAGCCACAATGTGTCAAACAAACCTTTTGAAGACCTGTGGGCTGCTGACAGGTTTTAGCCCAAATACGACCGTCTTCACTACCTCTCTTGTAATGTGTTTTTCACTTGGCACTAAATTATCTTCAGCTTTAACCTACAGCTTTTAACTGCACAAAATGCATGGAAGGTTCTATTCTGAGGGCCAGAGCTTGCTTTGCTTCTGGGTGCTGTGTGTGTTAGAGTAGTAGATCCATAACAGAACTCTGCAGTTTCTCAAGCTTGGTGAATTATTCTGAAATACAATGTTTGTAATGGAATTTAGGCATTTGTTTATAAATGAAAATGGTTTTCCTATAGTTTAGTACATCAAAGTGCAGCAGTGTAGGCAGCGCTCCTGCTCTGTGTAACCAGATTTATGCATATCTGGGAGATAAGATTGCTGGCACTTCCACTTAGCTGGAATATCTTACGTGTAATTTTTGGAAGATCCATGCTTTTAAAAGAAAGGGGTCTCACTGTGCATCTGGTGCTAGAGCCTCTTAAAGTGCCTGTCCTACAGAGAGGAAATGCACCCACTGCAGATGCACAGCGCTCTTCGTTGAAAAGCGTTGCAGTCCAAGATGCCAGTTCATCCAACCTAATTTTAGGCATGAGCTGATAGGTTGTGACTATGTCTGGACTGCATTCAGTGTGTTTGTCAGAGAGCTAAGCACCCTGGAGGTGTCCGCCCAGCATTCTCTCAATTGCCCATGAGATCGTTTCTCTTTTTGGCTAAGCACCAGAGATAAATAAGGAGAACCTTAACTCAAAGGATAGCAGAGTAGCAAATTGGAGCTCTCCCACTTAAATAATTCATTTTTCATCTTTCTTTTAGCCATGCTCTCGAGTCATACACCGCTCTTCCGTACAAGATGCGCAGTCCCTGCCCTTCCAATCCCATCAACCGGCCAGCTTACCAAGGCAGCAACCCCATCAGCGACATCTGGGCTCTTCATGCTCTGCGCATTGTGGCTAAATATTTGAAAAGGTAATACCTTTTACAGCCGCCCACCTCCCAGTGTGTTCAGTCTTCAGTGCCCCAAAAGAACTTAGAACCTGAATTTTATGTTGAAGCAATGCATTAAGTCTTCATTTCCTACTCTGAATTTATCTTGAATAAAACAAAATATTTATCAAATAAAATTGAAACTAGGATTAGGATTACTGGGTTGTTTTGTAGCCGTAGCTTTTTAATGCCTCAGTGGATCTACTTTAAAAGTCCTCAGTTAAAAGGATTTCAAGCTGATCAGTTAATATGGGAGCAGCATTCATATATTTTTGAAGATTGTCTTTGACAGTGTAAGAGGAATATGCAACAATGAAATATTGCTGGTGTCATTTCTGTGACTTTCATTGCAAACGAATATGCAAATAGATCCATCAAGAAGATGACCACAATCACTTAAAAATGTGTGAAGTTATACTTCTGCTGAAAACTAGTTAATACTTAGAAGACATTCAATTTAGATGAAGTTTTGGCTTAACTGGGAGTTGGCTTTGATCCTTACCAGTTACGTTTTAATCTGTATACGGGTTTTGTATACCATGTGCATTTATGTTAAGGATCAATATATTATTTTCTTAAAGACTTTTTACAGTATCTAGCCAGTCAAAATATTTTTTTTTTTTTTTCTGTGGAATCCGGGGTTCCGGAGAGGTTTTCTCCATATTGTCAAACTGCATAAGCAGCCTGACGTGATGGTGGGGTTCGGACCAGCTTTCTTGTGAATCTCACTGGGTGCTGGAGTGATCTAGGATCTCTTTGTGAGGTTGCCAAAGCTCGTTATTAGAATTAGTAGGGATACCTCCCACCAGACCAGGTTGCCCAAAGCCCCATCCAGCCTGGCCTTGAACACCTCCAGGGATGGGGCATCCACAGCTTGTCTGGGGAACCTGTGCCAGTGCCTCACCGCCCTTAGTGAAGAATTTCCTCCTAACATCTAGTCTAAATCTCCCCTCTTTTTGTTTAAAGCCATTCCCCATTGTCCTATCATTATCTGCCCAAGTAAAAAGTTGCTCTCCTTTCTCCCTGCTCCGTCACAAATTTGCTGGTACCGTTGTCTCCATGGCGTGCAGAGCCATCAGAAACCCTGAAGACCGTGAAGCACGAGCCAACATGCACCTAGCAAGTGCTTTTGCTGGTATTGGCTTTGGCAATGCTGGTGTTCATCTCTGGTGAGTACAGGAAAATGTTAATCCCTTCTGAGGTCAGCCTCTAGCCCAGTGCTTGTTTTGGATTGTCAAAAACATTGCCGCCTCCTTTCCCGGGTATAAGACGGTGTAACTTGACCACTGTTGCCCCTTATCACAGGGAGGGTCATACGTTGTGAGAAATCAGTAGGCTCTAGGCATTGTATGAAGATTGTGTATTCTGGTTTGGGATACTCAAATCAAATCCCATGAAAATTCCAAAATGTGGCCTTCTTTACCTTCCTTGACCGTACAAGTAAAAATCATAACTGGAAAAAGAAGCATCAAGGGCAGCTAAAATGTTGGATTCCATGCCAGCTCTTCTGCAGCACGGAGGTGATCTTGTGCCATTCACGAGCCAAGGCAAGTGGCAGTGGGGTGGGCATTCAGCAGCTTGAAATGAGCTGTAATTAATATTATAATCCAATCTATCTTCATAGGGGTGAAAACCTCAGAGAAGCAAAGCCGAAGCCTGCATTATGTGGGAAAGTTATTAGCAGTCATTCTCTTCAGAGACCTTCCTTTCATTTCTTTTGTTTGAGCAAATCCACTCTTTAATTATACTTTAAAATCACTGTTTATTTTTCTCATGCAGCGTGATCAGGTGGGAATTCGGATTACGTTCTTTTTGGCACGTCTGCCTTACTTTAGTATCGGGGCATCTTTCAGTTCCATCAGTAGAGTATGTAACTTCACCCTCTCAAAGTAAGGAGCTGCTTGCTCTTGCTGTTTTTAAAACTTGGTCCCTAATGTGCAGAGGATAAGGGTTATCTGTCCCCAACATCCATGCTGTATCTGTATCTAAATACTTTTTGTGTTTCTGTATCCGAGAGACTTGCACAGAGAAGGCTGACCACACAGGGGGTTGAACATACATTTCCCAAATACCAGGCGAGTTGCCGTAACCACTTTCTCTTTACTCTCTGTTCCAGCCATGGAATGTCCTACCCTATTTCTGGTTTGGTGAAAACTTACAAACCAAAGGATTATAACGTGGATCACTCTTTAGTGGTAAAATTTGGTTTATCTTTGTTTCCCTATCATACATTTCAGTTCTCTGTTATCTCACATTGCTGAGAGTTAAAGCACATTGATGGTACAAGCAGATGTGCTGTTAATGTGTTTTTTTGTTTGTTTGTTTGTCTGTTTTTTTCCAGCCACATGGCCTGTCTGTGGTGCTGACATCCCCAGCAGTGTTTGCTTTCACAGCACAGGTACATCCTGAGCGGCACTTGGAAGCTGCAGAAATACTAGGTAGGAATCTCTGTGAATATTGCTCACATATACTGAATTTGTTCCAAAATGTCTTTTCGGGAGGGGAAGAAATGTGTGGAAGCAGTCATAGTTGTTGCAGAGGTTTGGAATTTAAAACAAAACAAAAAACAAGTGTTGGGCTCTGGTGTCCAGTTTTTTATTTTGGATTAAGTAATTAAAGAAGCAAACTGGAGAATTGTGCTTCTTGACTAGAAAACTGGAAAGCTGAAATTCACTAGATACCTTACAGATCAGGAGAGTGTAACTGTGATCAACATTTCTTGGTGCTTTATGGAGAGAAGTTACTTTAAAGCAGATACCATAAAATAAACCAATGCTCAGCTGCATCTGTTTGCAAAAAGAAAGCATTTTGCCCAACAAATCCCCTGCTGTTGCTCTGAATTAGGACAGAGTGGTGTTCTGGATCACTCCTGCTCCTTTTCCAAGGCAAACAATAACCGTGGCTTTCTGTCCTTCTAATGTAGGTGTAAGATAGTAGATTAGATTATCTGTAGGTGATGGAATTTCTCAGTGGCTGATACCAAGGGATAGCACAGAGTAGCTGTTCCGTGGACACCTCTGCGATGGCTCAGCTGCCCTTTTCTGCTCCTTACCAGAATGACAATAAATGCTGCAAGCTGACAACACATTTTAAGATTTCCTTTTTGTACAGTGGCTCATAAATCCGTACAGCCCTTTGCTGGAAGATGTCCTGGAGCTAGGATAGCTTTGTTGCACCCCCAGCACGGCTATGTATAGCAAACCAGCTCTCAGTGACGTAGTCCTGGAGCTGTTAGCAGCCTTGCTGTGACAGCATGGCTCTCCTGTGGGTTCATTTATTTATATCTAAGGCCAGCTTTGCTGCCTGCACTCAGTTCTGTGTTGTAGCTAAACTGCAGCTAATACCCGTGCTCTCTATCTTGAGGAGTGAGCAACCACAGTCATGTGCACAGCAGCGTAGACAGCAGAGAGAAAGTGGGTAGAGCAACTCTCCTGGTATTTGGAAAATTCGTACTCAATCCCTTGTATGGTCAGCCTTCTGCCTGCAAGTCGCAGCAGTCCAGCCATGTGTATGGCTTCCCTGTGTATGTAGGCTGAAAGCACCGTGCTTCTCAGCAAAGACTCCTGGATAGACAGTGAAAATACCACAGCTGTATTGCAGAGGGTGTAAAACAACATGCTCAGGAATAAATAGATTGGAGGAGAGTTCCGTTTATTTTATTATTTTTGGTTCTGAGATTTGCTCAGCCGTCCTCCTGCAGCCCTGCCTGTGGTCATAAACAGAACACAACCTCACAGCCTAGCTGGAGAGATACTAAGCTACAAAATGCCTGTGTTCCTGCAGCAGTAGCATACAGCTCACATAAAGTGGGCTGTTGTCAGATAACTGGCCTGCACAGCGTATCGGAGAGTTTGATCTCTGGCTCCCTGATTTTAAAACTCGCTGTTGAAAAGTAGTTCCTTTAGGTTTTGTGGTTTGAACAGCTGCCATCAATTCTGCTTCTAGAAGCTCCGTTAATATTCTCAATAGAAATTTAAGCTCTGTTAGTGTCTGCCTTGCTGTAAAGTGTCCCTGCTGAAAAGATGTCACGTGGAAGTGAAGTTATTAACTCCCACCTGGGGTGTTTGCTCTTGATTCAAGTCTGGAATCCAACTGACTCCAGTAGCTGATTCAAATCTGTCATGTTGCCAGATGCAGTGACTGAGGAGCTATTTTATAATGTGGAGAAGATTACTAAATAGTCATGTTGTGTGTATGTACAGCTGTGAATTTGGGTACAGCCAGAAAAAGCTTAATACCTCCTCGGGTGGATTCTTTAACAGTAGAAATAGGTGTGTGTGTGGCCAGAAATGTTCGGAGTGCAGTCAGTGACTAATGGATCCTTTAGGCTGAGCAAAAAGAAAATAACAAAACCTTTTTTTGTCCTTTTTTTTTTCCCCCACTCCCTTTCCCTTTTCACTTTACTACCTGAAGATAGTGGATCACCTTTATGTCCCGATGCCTCCTCTACAATTAAGCTCAGGTAGCATGACATTGCCCTGTGGCATCAGTCTGCATACAGTACTCTGTCATGTTATTCATCAATTTCTCCCTGACGGTCTCTACCCCAGTACTGCCCCTCTTACTACCCAAATATCCGAGCTCCTCAAATGAGTTTGTTGGTCTCCTGTTCGCTTAGTCACCCGTGCATGTTACCCTGAACCGCAGGAGGGTCACAGAAAACATTTCTCCCGTAGCTATGTTGTGCTCTTACTCATCTCTCAGCATGGTTCTTGGGCCCAGCATAGTTCTGGTGTAACATCATCGAGGTTACGCAGAGAACAAACTTGGCTCAGCTTGCTTGGAAGAGAAATCACAGGGAGGAAGCTCCATCTTCTATAGGGACGTGCAGGTTTTTTTATTATTATTTTTTTTAATTCTTGACCATCCATTGAAGAAGGGGGAGCAAGCTATTCTGTAATTTTGTATTTCAGTTTATATTGAAGCTTTCATTGCTGTACAGTGGATGTCTCAAAGATAGCAATTCCTCCTCTTCCATTCTGTGTTATCCTACACAAGGAAGCACAGATTCAAACAGCATTAACTGCAGGATTTATTTAACCTATTAAACCTCTGCCCTGCCAGCTCCTATCTTTCTCGGCCTCTGCACTCTCGTCCTCTCTTTGAATGTGCAATTAAACAGAGCAAGTAGGAAATTATTTGGTCACTGGTTTCCATGTCCTCTAGATGTCAGCAAACTCAAGGCCTTAAAATAAAGGTAGCATCTGGCAGGCTGTCCATAAAAAATAAATAACGCTGACGTTCATGTGCTAGCTTCTTTCCTCCCAGCAGTTAGTCAGACTGAAGAGTGCTTCTCCCTGTAAGCACAGAGGGAGAGGAAGCTAACTCCATGTGGCAGTTAGTATTTCTGGCAGTGGTTACCTGCTTCTCCTGATCTTGTTTTATTTCACCTTTTACCAATCACCCTGACTGTAAAATGAAGACTGATTCCTCTTTTTACTTCATGTTGCTTTTAGGGCAGCGACTGTTATGTATGGATATGTATTCAGCTGATATTATGATTAAATTAAGTCCAGAACAGGCTTCCTCCTCTCTCTCCACCCTACAGTCAAGGCATTATGTCTTATTTTAGGAGCTGACATCCGCACTGCCAGAATCAAAGACGCGGGGTTTATTTTGGCAGACACGCTCCGGAAATTCCTATTTGATCTGAATGTTGATGATGGCTTAGCTGCAATTGGGTATTCTAAAGCAGACATCCCTGCATTAGTCAAAGGCACTCTGCCTCAGGTAAGACAGAAAGTAAAAGTTTTTCTCGTCAAATGAAATAGAGCAGATTTAAAAAAAAAAAACAGAAGGGTTTCTTTTCAAGCAAATGTTGTTTATAGTCCTACATGAAAACACAATGGAGAAAGTAAGGTATAGTCAACTGTTCTTCTCTCTACATGGTGTAAGTTTTATTTTCAGGGAGATGGTGTGCATGCTGCAGTCTGTTCTTTGCATGGGTCCAGAAAGAACAGGGTGTTTTTTAAACTCCAAGTTTTTAAAAAAGGGGATGGTTTTCGTAGAGCTTTGATCTTGGTGGAATAAACTGTTTTCTCTTAAATATCTCTGTTAGTTGTATGTGCAGGATGGGTTAAAGATAAAACCTTAACACCAAGCACTACTTGGTAAGAATGGCGAAGCTGACTTTGCAATAAACTTTTCCATACTGAGAAGTCACACTTTTTTTTCCACAGATGGCTTTTTTGTTCCATTGACCCCCATCAGAATTTGAAATAAGGTCCCCTGGGACGGTGTAGTTTAAACTTGTAATACCCTTTATTGTTTCAGTGCTCACAAAGACACTGCAAAAAGCAACACACCACACCAAAAGCAAAATCCGGTGTCTTCCTTGTAAAAAGACAGCTCAATTCATGCGCTATGGACTGCTCTGTCTATTCAGGATTTATTTCCACCAAATAGCAAGGGAAATAAACAATATGGTGAAAATGAAAAATTTGTAGGCTGAAAGGTTAATCACTTCTTGCAGCAGGATCTCTTATCATGTCTAGTTCTCATTGATAAATCTCAGAGTAGCTTACAATAGAGAGTAAATAATGATACTCCTATTTTACACCTGAGGAAATGAGACCCAGAGATGCAGCTACTTGGGATCAAGTGGCAAAGCCAGGAAGAAGTAGTGTCAGAGTATGCATCAAATAGGTTATGCACATAAATTGTTATGGGGCATTTTGGAGGTTTGTTTTCCTAGTATGCTTTCTTTAAAACATTTATTTTGGGGCAGCACAAGCACAACATCTCATTGAAGGCATGTTTTGTGTAGCTAAGAGAGGGGGAAGTCTCTTTAGCTAGACATTGAAGGTTTTATTTGTTGTTGTTATTTTTTTGTTAGCTTATCTCAGATTGACTTTTAATTCATTTACTGTCATCTCACTGCATTGGTGATTAATTGTGCTGTGTAAAACGAGCTGACTTGGTAGTTTCTCAAACCTCATTTTGTGTATTTGTACCATACTGGGAACATATTAGTATTCCTTAACAGTCCATTACCTACAGAGCTAGTCCATACAGGTCAGTCTTTGATATATTTATTTTCTTTTCACCTTTCAGTAAGTTTTCTTCAGAACACAGCAGCCACCCATTCGTGCTGGCAAGGCAGTGTGCTGCAGGCCGCTGCTGCTAATACCATCAGTCAGCCAGGTGTACTTCGTGCTGCAGGGCTGGAGCTATGCTGGGGCAAACCTGAAGTTAGAATAGGATTTTGGTTTTCTTTTTAAATGAGTCTGTTGGAATTGATCTCATTCACAACAGCGAGGTGAATCTATCAAGGAAGATCACGTCCCAAGGCCAAAAAGGTGGCTGGCCCTGTGTGGGTTTCAGGGGGGAGATGAGGAAGGCTGATAATGAGCGATGGCAGCAGCCCACCCACCCCTGCAACCATACCAGAGGCAGTGGCAGTGTGGCTGAACCAGCGATGAGCACAAAGTTGCTCATCCTTGGCATTACACCAGACTTTACTGAGTCAGCCCGGAGGAGCCAGGGCCTTGCTGTCTGGGCATCAGCACGTAACAGTGGGCTTGTGTGGGGGCAGCACTGGTGCCTCTGTGTCGAGCTGCCATGTGGAGGGAGCATCCTGCTGCTGGGAAATGCTATGGTCTGTCAGGGTGACCGTCCCCTGTCACCCCGTGGGACTTCACAGGTAACACAGGGCTGCAAAACTGCAGTTTGGCCCAAAGCATCCTAGTTTAAGGCTGATGAATTTACTGGGTATTTGAGCTCTGAGTTACCGTGTATTGGGAGTCTGACAAAAAGCAGCACACTTTTTCATCCTGGTGCTGTTTGAATTCTCCATTTGTTTTCAAAACTGCACAGAAGAATCTGAGCCATTTCCTTGGCTGGATCCATGTCTGCAGCCGCGCTGATCAGAGGCGAGGAAAGGTTTCATTCAGTTGTTGCAGCTGTACCTGCAAAGTTCCTTTTGCACATGAAGTTGTCTGCACAAAGCTGCGCCTCTCGGACCCATCGCAGGCCGTGCTGATTATGAGCTGTGAATATCTCTGCGGTGACTTCCTCGCCGTGCTCGCTCCGTATCCACAGATGAACTTCACAGCGTGGTGCTCTCGCTTTGCGGCCGCATCCGGCTGCTCGGCAAATCACAGCCCTGTGGGCACAGGGGGAAGCGGAGCAGCTGCGGCAGCGGTGTGAGCTCTGCCTTTTGCTTTTGCTGAGCCTCCTCCAGATGCTGAGGGCCAGAGGCATCCCCTCCCTGCCATCCGACCCGGTCTGCGAGGCAAGCCCCACAGCAAATGACGTCCACAGTGTCACAGGTGGAAAAAAAGGGAGAAATGAATCAGGGCGTTTAGAGGGACAGCCTCTTCCACCAGGGAGATGTGGAAACCGGTTGTAGTAGGAGAAGCTGTCTTGCCAAAGAGGCAGCAGATAACGCTTAGAGACTGCTTTGCCGAGGCACGATGCGTTCCTGGTGTGGGCATCTGGCTTTGCAGGTGTTTGTAAACCTCCCCAGTGCTTCAGTAAATGGTAAATTCATTGATTGTTGAAGGCATGAAGTCACTGATCGTAACACTACAAGTGCATTATGTTAGGCTGTCGCAGCCCAGTGGAGCCCTGTCATGTTTCTGCAGTCCCTGGCTCCCCGCACAATCACAGCTCCGCACCCTGGACAGCGTGGGGGCTGTTTGCAGTTGCAGTCCCTGCCTCTGTAGTTATTTCTGTCAAACAGCACGGGGAAGCGTGCAGCTGGGTTTCATTTCAGTCAGTGGGACTTATGCGTCTGAAAACTCTGGTGAATCACAGGCCACAGGAAAACCCAACCTAATTATTTTCTGTTCTTGCTCCAAGGTGTCCAGCTATGTATCAAGCAGCTGCACTACCTTCCTTTGGCGTGCCTCTCTGGAGCCTGAGCTGCACTCACTGCTTATTCTCCCCATCTACTGGGCTTCCCGGCCTTTGAGAGGAGATGTATTTTGAAAATCTCAGTGCCTAAAAATTAAGTTCTTAGTTCCAATGCTGGCAAATGAATTTAAAATGGACTGTATTCCCAGATTGCTACCCCCAGCGTACCTGGATCTGTGACTGGCATGTTTGAAGTACTCAATTTTGCAACTGAACTGCTTTTTAATCTTCCTTCTGTGTATTTAATCATAAGCTGTTTTAGCCAGAATATTACTGAAAGTACAGTGCAGTTGATGATGGTTCAACCTTAATTGCTTGATTACTTACTTGCAAACCCTTATTGTTCTCTGCGAAGGACATCAGCACATAGTTGAGCTGCAGTTAGCTGCTCTTTGATTCCATTTGTTGGCAACCTTCTCTAATCTAGTTTGTCTTTCATCTTGCAGGAGAGAGTGACTAAACTGTCACCACGTCCCCAAACAGAAGAAGACTTATCTGCCCTCTTTGAGGCTTCCATGAAGCTTTATTAGCGTAAACATTTTGCTCAGAAAAGCGTGCCCTTTTTTAACACAAAGGTAATTTCTTACAGAGAGGGGGGAGTTGAATTTGTTTAGAGAATGGAAGAACTTGGGTGTCCTCCACTTCTGTTCCATTGTGCACCGCCAGAAGATCAAGTAATTCATCATTAACTAACAGTACTTTGAAGTGAAGGATTGATTGCATTTTTCCTTGCTCAGTAGCCAGTAGTATTTCTTGCATGAAAGCTGAGTCAGACATCTAGCTTTACTGAGGGCTTGCTGGTGCTTTAGAGATGGTCAAAAGTGAAATTGTTTTTTACGGGGCGTTTTACAAAACGTGTGTTTTATTTAAATTGTCTATAATTTTGTTAAGAAGTCATGCTATATAAGAAATAAAGGGGGTCATTTTTAATTAGGGGGGGGGGTCCCTTATGGAAAATGTCAATCAGCTGTATTATATTCCACTTTGTCATCTTCTTACCCTCTTGCTTCACCAAGAAGGCTATTGAAGGGAGGTCGTTTGTTGTTTGATTCAAAAACAAACATAACAGAAGAAACTACGTTTGGACAAGACTTTCTGAGGTTTTGCTTTAGGTTAAAATTTTGAAATGTATTTTCCAATACTTGTCTTTCCTTTCCAGATATATATGAAGTATTCGTAGGAGGAGCAAACCAGAGCAAAGCATGGTTGCATCCTCACCAGGAACCACCTAACAGCAAGACATCATCCATCACGGTCATTTTGTCTCCGTGGAGAAAACCGCTCCCTTTTCCTGCTGTGTTCTGTGGAAGGAAGCTATCAGCTGCATGTGTGAAGCGAGCACTTCTGCTGAAGTCCTGCAGGTGCTGTCGCTCGGAGCGCAGCCACCAGCCTAATGCAGTGGCAGCAGGCTGTGGTTCAGTATGAAAGTGTGGTGGTGGAGCATAGGGCTCCACGGTGCCCCGCTGGTTAGACGTGGGAACGAGTGTGCACGTTCAGAGCAGTTAACCAGCTGGTGGACTGTCAACTGAGAAAGGGAAGTGGGAAAGGGAGAAATGAAACTAAAATTTTAATACTATTTTTCTTTGTTTTTTTAAAAAAAAGTGCACACAGTTGCATGTGCAGTTCATTTAAACCAGATTCTGCTTCATGTTGGACCCTTTCAGCACCAGATTTATGCAGTGAGCACAGCACAAGAAAAACGCAAGAAGAACCCCATGACCTGCTGGGAAAGTAGTTCTGCAGTCACCCAGCCGAAGCAGAAGGCTCTATACATACACCTGTGTGCTTTGGGGTTGGTCTGATAGGATTAATGCTAACCTGGAATCTAAAAAGATCTGTCTAAAAAGGCAGACATGTCCTGGATGATGGCACTGGGTCTGGTTTAATGTTCAATTGAAGTAGGTGGATGGATACTGATTGGATACCAGAGATTTTCTTATTTACCATAAAATGGGTGTGGTGGCAATAGGGACTGCACTGCCAAAATGCCTCAGCCTGTTCTGGAAAACGCATCTGTTTTCCGTGTCCTTCTGAATCTTGTCCTGCGTTGAAATAGCACAGAGCAACCTCTATCATGAAGAGTGCCTTCATAATAGCAGGGGGTGAGGGATTCATTTTATTTTATCATGCAAAGTTGCCATACTTGGAAAAAAAAAAAAAAAAAAACACAACCTTCTTGTCAAACCCTTTTGTGTACAATATCTTGCTCTGTTTCAGCTTTTTGCTCCTACCTTTCTCCAGGCTGTGGGAGCAATCCTGAAGAGAGATTTTTTTTTCTAGGAGCCTAATTCATGGCAGCAGTGCTGCGTTTGGAAAGTTCTGGGGAACTGAGCAGCACATGGGTTTCATTACTGCACCAGAGCACTTTGATGGGCTACTTAGGAATGCAGGATATTTCACTCCAGCACACTTTTTATTTGCTGTTTATGCTGCTGTGGCAGTTACTAACAGGCTGAGTTTTCAACCTCACACTAAACTTCATGTACTCGGGCAACCCAGAGCTCTTGCTAATTTCCAAGCTAAGCCTTACAACCCGTTCTGAGGTAATAGGTTTTCTCCATGTTTTGTGGATGAGACAAAAGCTCTGATACCATACCTAACCCAGCATAAGCACCCGGTACTGTAAGAAGGGGACGTTTCTTTTCCTGGCAGTTTTCTGAGCAAAATCAAAGGAGTTTAGGCCACCCTGCATAGCTGCCTTTCAAATAATGATGGTTTGACAACGAGTCATGTCCTGGCTCCTGTCCTATTCTGAGCACTGGTAGTTTCATTCACAACTGAATGAGGGTTTGTGTGTGTGTGTGTATTATCTAACTAAACTATCCTGTACTGAGAAATCTAGTTGATCAAATATACCTGGTATCTTTGAACATGTCTATTTTGTGTACGTGAACCTGGTGTTTGAGGAGAGGAAGGGGGGTGAAATTGTGGTGGTCGGGCACGTCTGAGCGACTTGTCCCACGCGTGACTTGTTACTGCCCTGTCACTAAAGGCCTCCGTGACACATCTGTTACCACCTTGAGATGATACTGGAATGCAAATAATAAATAGTATTGTACTTGCCATAAACACAGGCTTGTTTGGAAGTCTTTGACAGCAGCATTTAACTCTACCATGTTAACTTTTAAAATAACTATGAACCAAAACCATTTGGAGAAAATAAGCACTTGTTAGCTTCGCAGTGCATAGTGACTTTTCCAGCCAAGTTGTTTGGTGCACTCAGCAGTAGGCAAAGCTGTTGCATCGGGGGTGACAACTGAGATGAACGTTAAAGTTTCAGAAACAAAAGCACCCCAGCTGCTGCACTGCACTTCCCTGAACCTTGAAGCAGCTTTTCTGTACACCTTACTCTGCATAGTCAGTACATAGGTTAACAAATATTACATACTGCATGACAACACTACAATCCTTGTGTGGCTTACTTGTGAGCACTAGGCTGTGATTGATTTCCTCCCCTTCCTTGAGGAGTCAGCCTTACTTTCTGCCTTATAACTACATAAAGGGATTTGCCAGTCTCTATATGAAGAACAAATGCCAAGTTTATCTAGGCCATGGTTTTTTAATAGGTTTTGAGGAAGCGTAGATAGGGGCTATTCAGTCACGACAGAAGAATGGGTTGAGGAGACTCCAGGGACTCCTTTTCATTAAAGCAGGAGTTGTCATGTTCGTGTTATCAAACTGCTCAGATTCTTGCTGTAGACATCGATTTCTAGTCCTAGATTCTCAGAGCTCTGTGCAGGCATACACAGACTGAGCCCTGGCCCATTCAGTGACTCGGTTGGTCCATCTGCTGGGATAACCAGTGTGAGCAAGTGAATGTGTAGTGCTGGTGAAGGCAGTTTAACAGCAGGTATGGTTTTACCTGGAATACAGAATGGAAAACCAAAGTACTCGGTGCTCACAGGGTGGCTGCATGGCACCAGCAGAAATGGGGGCAGCTCATACAGCAGTTTGTGCAGCCCCTCTTTTCCCTTGCCTCTTCCCATTTCAGTGCTGATTATCCCACCAGTTAAAGCAAAAGGAGAATGAGGCAAAAAATACATAACCTACATCTTGGAAAACTCCCACAGTCATCCTGCGTGAATGAAGGTGGAAGAAATTGCAGGTGGGTTAGCGTGTGCTTGCTCATCCCTGACTGCATCGTGTTCTCTTCAAGGCAACTGTGCCAAGGCTGTCATCTCCTGTCTCGTGGTTGGCTTTCCATCCCCCTGAGGCCTGAAAAATGGATGAGGAAGAGCGTTAGTTAAAAGACACGCTGCAAAGCTCTCTCTAGGCACTTTCCATAAGCCCCAAGCAAATCTGCTTAAGCACTGCAGTGCTCCAGGACATGTGCAGCGTGTCTTGGGCTTCAGCATCTGCGGCCTCATAAATCCCTCCCTACACTGAGTGTGTCTGTGGAGAAGGGACAAGAGCAACTTAATGCAACATAGCAAAAGCCTCAAAGTATGGTCTGCGTTTTGCCTCAGACCATCCCTGTGTACTTCCCAAACAAAAGGGAACTGAATTTAAATTCAAAATAGTTGTTAAACACCTGCTAGTGAATGCAGAAAGTAACGTGACCGTTCTTCTCATCTCTCCAAGAGAGGTTGCTCATGGGGCAGTACAAAGACCGCTTGCTCGTTGCAGCTCTGGGAAGCAAGAAGAGGATCTTCCACATCTACCTCTCTTAGTAGTCCTGTCTCAAAACCTGCTTCAATTTTTGACTCATCACCTTGCAGAAGAAGGTGAAGAAGGCTACTTGCAGAAAAGGCTGCTCTTTGAATGGTAATACAGTGGGACTGTCAGGGACTGAATTTGCAAAGGTCTCAGCATGCACAGTTTTGCTGCAGGCAGCTGTACCTCGGCACTTACCTGCAGTGTACAGGTGTGAAAGAATACAGGCTCAGTTTGTTAAAAAATTGCTGAGTGTATATTTTTACATGCGTGTGTCACAGCAGTTGTGCCAATGTAGTTGTACATGGGAATATGGAGAAGCTTACCTTTCACTTCTGAATTTCTCAATGAAACCAAACCCAAAACCAAACACACAAACAAACAAAAAAAAACGTGATATGACTAGGAAAGCTGCAGTTCCCTTAAATGCACCATTTCACAATGCAGTTTTATATTTTGCCAGCTTGGGACTCCCATTAGGAAAAAAAATAAATAAAATCCATTCAGCCATTCATTTTCTTTTCTTCCCCCATTGTACTGAGACAGCTGCCACAAGTGAGTTGGTAGAAAACTTCGTGCAGCCAAATAATAACAATAAGAGGAAGAACCGCTTTGACACAGCTCAGTGGAATGTTAATTCAAGGTCTTGAGTTAACTGCTTTCCTATTAATAGGAGAGGGATGAAAAAAATGCTTTTAGTCTTTGGTTTCTTTTGAAAAATTACACGTGCCTATTTCTCAGGGAACTCTAAATACAGCAAATGGCAACAGATTTTTGTCTTATTTCTCTGAATGTGGAAATTAAAGTTAATGCACAGCCATTAAGTCGAGTAAAAGCAGAGAAGATGTGAAATGCATCCTTTTGAGGGCAGTGTAAATTGATGTCACGTTGTAGAGCCAGAGCCTGGTTCTGCTGCCACGTGCGGTGGCAGCACAGGCACCAAGTCAACCGAGCAGCAGCAGCAACCGCGCCGTGGTCTGAGCCTCTCTTAAATGTTTAATCTGATCCAACTCTGCTGTATCATGAAATATATATCCTAGCACAAACACTGGTTTATTGATGTGGAACTTCTCCTCCTTGTTCCTGCCTCGCGGTGACTTTGACCTACTTCAACAATACCCTAATGCTTTTCACGGGATGCGCCATCTGAATGCTTGGCCATACAGCCCTAAATTAGCAACTTGACATTGAAATGCTGATTTACACCTGCAGTCAAATGGATAACACATGTTAAAGGCCGATTGTCAGCAGCTCCAGCGCGTTCTTGCTTCATTCTGTGGCATTGTCGCTTGCCTCCATGCAATTTAAGGACACCCTTGTGGGGCATTGTCGGTATCGCTGTGGACACAGCTGTAGGGGGCTGACACTTTGTCCGGAGCTTGTCATCTGTCTAAAAGCTGACATCACTTCCCCAAAATCACTGTGAACGTTTGGATGTTGAAGTGTTGCTGTATGTTTTAAGACAGCATTGGAAATAAAGAAGCTTTTGGCTAGCATAAAAAGCAGTTAGCATTGAATAACTTGCTCTTCTGACCTTCTCACCCCAAGGAAGATTAATGGTCATTTAGATCAGAACTTCCCCCCTGATCAGGGCTCTGAATGCCTCGGGGATTCGGACAGACAAAGGGAGCCTTGTCACCCCCAGGTCACCAGCCTAGACCTGCGGTGTATCTCCAGTGACCATTAGATGGTTGCTCAGCAGTTTATGTGCGAGAGGTGGTGGCTGTAATCCATTTTCCGATGGACAGGCCTCTGCCTCATGGAAGCTGTCACTATGTCCTTGCCAGAGCTGGAAGGAACAGGAATTCACACAAACTGTGCCCAAATTGGTTTGCCTTGCACTACTGAAACCACAGAGCCTGTGTAGCGCTTGTTCTGGTGGCTCCATCCTCCTCCTGGAGGGCTTTGGCCTCTGCTCCCACCTCTGGAGCACACAGGTCCTGCTCAGACACGCTCATAGCTGCGTTTCTGGCACGTGAGCCCAATTTTCTCTCTCCCATTTCTCTCTGTGTGCTAACAAGCGCTGTGATCTGCCCTGCAGGTGTTCGCTTTGGAGGGAAGGGCCTTACTTTGGGAGCCACCAGTTCAATGCGTGAAGCAGTTCCGACATCCTAGAAGAGCACGTCCCACAGCCCTCACGTAGCCATCTCCCAGGTTTAGTTCCTGATGTAACTCATGCCTACTGTAACTGTATTTTAAGTGGAAGTCCTAAAAATAGGACTACTCAGTAAAATCGAGCACAGAGTTCAGGGACAGATTTCGGTAGTAAAGTAACCATTTGTGACTTCTTCTGTTAGAAGGGATGAGGTCACCAAATGCAAAGCACAATTTGGGGACCTACACACCAAGGCTAAGCTAAAAGCACCAACTTTTACAGCTGCACATGGTAAGCAGATGGTCTGTAAAGGGCTAAGCAGGTTGTACCTCACTGGAGACATAGAATCATAGAATCATAGAATATCCTGAGTTGGAAGGGACCCTTAAGGATCATCAAGTCCAACTCTTCTGCATGTGCACAGCGTATCTCTAAAAAAAATGACCTGTGTGCAGACATATGCATACAGTAGCTGCAGCTGAGACACTGAGCCTGAATATATAACATGGTTGCAGACCAGAGATTATAAAAAAATATATATATAACTGAAAGGGAGAAGTAGGATTGAGGAGCCTCTCTCTCCTATTTGGCCATGTTGTGAGAGGAAATAGAAATGTCAGACTTTAGGGTAATATCCACAATGAGAAATGCATTTTACAAAACACAATAAAATCCTAAGGGACGTAGAATCTAAAACTACATAGTTATTAAGGAGAGTGTGTTATGTCTATTGCAGAGCCCCAGAAACTCTCTCCTGTTCCCTTCTGGTTTTCTCTCTCCTAGGCTTATCTCTGCACAGCTGGTGCCACGGAGTGGACAGAGCAGCTGAAGCAGGCCACAACCAGAACTGAGCTAATAAACTAAGTGTCTAAGTGTTAAAGCTAATAGGAATGATGTAAAGGACAAATAAATATCAGTTCTGTGAAAAACAAAACTCTTGGAGGCTGCACGACTTGAAAAGGCCTGACCTCTATGTAGCTTATGGGTTTGAAAATCCTCTCCTATGTACTTGCAGCATTAATTCATCTTGTTATCTGAGGTGATCTACTTTAATCAGATTCCTAGAAGCAAGTCAGGTACTTAAAGCAGAAGATCTTTGACACCCGTGCTGGCAGTGTCAGTAGAGAGGCCAAAGACCAAGCCAGCAGGGAGAGCAAATAACCCACTTCATCTCCTCAAAACCCCTTTTAGGATAATTGGCGTCAGGGGCATTTCTCCCAGTTTCCCCTCACGGATTCATAGCTGTAGGGCCATTTAGCATACTTGTCACACAAAAGCTGTCCCTAACGTTTTGTTTCAAAGACCCAGCTGTTCCATAATG